GTGTATATGTATGTGTGTGTGTGTGTGTGTGTGTGTGTGTGTGTGTGTGTGTGTGTGTGTGTGTGTGTGTGCGTGCGTGTGTGCGTGTGTGTGTATATGTAGTGTGTGTGTGTGTGTGTGTGTGTGTGTGTGTGTGTGTGTGTGTGTGTGTGTTCAGTTAACTATAGTTAACTGCAGTTAGTCCGTGTATCTTTTATAAGTTAAAATATCCCTACATGAAACATAAACATTCAAAGAGAACATTCCCTAGTAACTTGTAAACGGTCTTGCTCGTGACGACAATTAGTGTTAATATTATTTACACAATTATCGTCATCGTTGTTGTTGCTGTTGCTGTTGTTGCTGTTATTACATTTAACCTTCCAACTTTTCAGCTTGTAACGTGCTGTTCGGGGGTAAAACTGGCAAGTATACATTGACCAACTACGGCCATCAGAACAACTGTAGCTTCGCTGTAATATATCCAGTCCTTGTTAGGATCACTGGAATCATGATCGGAGTGGATAAACAAATTGGGGTTGCTAGTCAGCTGCAACTGGAAAGCCGGGTAATGACACAGGTAAACCATCCCGCCGCATGAGCTGCAAGAATTTTTGTTGAGGCAATTATGCATGCTAATACCCGTATATTTAGTTACATTGGCGATTACAGGCGCTCATTATCCCTATATTATCGCAGTGCATTTGCTCAGACCTCAATTAGCAACGAACTGGAAAGAATTTAATAATAATAATAGGGAACCTTTACAGCGTGTTGTTATTTCTCGTTGCTGATATAGTTATTATTGAACTATATTTGAATTGCGAATGATCATTCCCATGTTCCTTGTTTTATATATGCTTTTATTATGTTCGCTGTTTACGCGCATGCGTTGCTAGCATACACCCAACAATCACGCATATATTTAACTAGAGTTACTCCACTCGTTATGGCTGAATCGTATATTAATCTGAAAATATTACGAGTTATTGAACTGAAACTACGGTTTACTATATATTGAATATAGATAACGAAGATAACGATGTTTTTTTTTTTGCTTTATTTGTGAAGTGTGAAAAACGGGGTTATCACGATTTCCTCGAGATAAAGAGTGGAGGCATGGAGTCGTTAGATACCAGCTACATGCCGTCCTTCTGGAAAATATGCGGGGCTGAATTGAACCCAGGTATGTATGCATATCAAGAAATACTAATTAATAGGAAATTTTCTATTATGCACTCTTGATATATATATATATCTCGTATCCTTTGATCTCACACGCAAATGATTTAACCATTACGTCATCGTAATGTTCACCTAGCCCTTGCTTCATTAACTATGCGTATCAACCTAAAACTAAGCAAGCATATATTCTCTTTTGCCACAAGTGAAATGAACTAATAAGGAACTGATATATATATCTCCTAACCACGTCGTAAAAAAATTGAAGAATCTGAATAAGAAATTAATGATGACATTTGCAATGTACCCATAGTTATAATATGCCCTCGTAATTGTAAACGGTAATATGATTATTAATATCGACGTCAGCTCGTAGCGGCAGTGCATAATAACTCTTACTATCGAGCAATTACTACTGACCGATAAACCTCGCCGCAGTATAGGCTCACAGAATAAATGAGCGCCTAGTCACAATAACTACGGCTACGTATTTATTTACCAGTGAGCTCATTATTGAAAATAAGTTCAATCAACCTCATGACTTACTGCGTCGTTGGTTACGGCACGAATGACTGCATGGGATTGGCATTACTTATAGAAGCGGCTGAATTACTGTATTAACGGTCTCGAGTCTAACTGCACTCAAAGTAATTACCCAAGAAGGGGTATAAACGGGTGTGACGATGACGCTGCCACCTACGTGTACAGCTTTTTTCATTGAATATGAGTAGTTAGTGTGAAATGGAAAGGTGAGACGTACCCCCTAGTCTAGGCTACACGATTCATTCTGTAAGACGATGCCAATCATTCACAAACGCCAACCAAAAAAATCAACAACACCGTTGATTGCCCGTCGGCTCTGTCACATCTCACGTTCAATAGTGATGTACTCGGTATATATGCGCCTATTTCGCATCCATGTACGTCAGTTATCCACATAAATTTCGTACGTTCAAGAAATAACCGACGCAGCATTTCCGTAGATATTCTCTACACGGGTGTAACGTTGATGTAATTAAGAGCGTATAAAGAAGGAATACTTCTTAATAAGGCTTCTTTATACGCCTTCTTTATACGCTCTCGATGTAATGTTTGATGTAGAAATGATAAAGGAATCCAACCTTGTGTTTTAAACTACATAAACTTTAATAACTGGCACACAGGGTAGTCACATCTTGCACAGAAAGACTAAGAAACGCGCACACGCCCGTAAGCGCGCGTGCTTACTTTCGCGACCACAACCAGACCCCCCCCCCTCCACCGAATCCTACATCTCTGTCTTCCACAAAACCCCGCCATGTCTACACTCGATCTGCATCCCTATTTCACAATGACTCGAGAATCTGCCTAACCTAAAACACGCTTTTCCAATTCCCTGTAACATCAATTGGGCCACACAAAATGCGCGACGCTGTGTCTAGATAGACTATTACTAAAACAACCCCTATAGTCTAACTCTACTTACTACTCTATGTAAACATCTGTAAAACGTATGTTACACGGGACTTCCGACGACCAATTAGCTTCATTGCAGCAGGAGTAAATATAGGCCTACACAACGATTTTATTCACTCCTGATCACACGTATGACGAATATGTACGTACTGGGTAGATCACAATCCGACCCATAAGTTGTATGTCTGATACTGCTATAACTGAACTGAGAGGTCGTGTGCAATATAGCGTTATATAGCATTTTGCAGAACATGTTGTTAGATTAGTACAACAGCACAGGTGCCCTCTACGATGCCATCGTATAAGCGCATATAATGCTCTCGCTATAAGTGCATTCGCTTTATTAAAAATTAATGTTACAAAGTAACATTGCAAAGTGATATAATATAGCGTGCGCATTAAATAATGCGACAAAAGGCAGAAATATGGTACGGTTGAGATCTAAGGCCGAAATCATCGGCAATAAAGAATTCTTATGGCATATAAACGTAGAATAGACTTGGCCTATATTTTAACACGTCCAGAGAAATTCCATGTCAATTTCGTTATCATGCGATCCTGTGGCGCCACGCCGTAGTGTCTCCGGTAACACTCCCACCAAGGTATAAGTCTGCATATGTAACGCCGTTACTTCCATTCCATTAAATATCACATTCTCAACTGGTATTTTATAACGCGCAATTAAGTACTGTTAACTCTGTACTGTAGAGCCTTTAATTGCTTCACTAGTCAATTTTGATGAGAGGTAGCAAGTTCATATAAGCGCACTAGACTGGACAAAGAATCTGGTTGCTTTCGCCGATACGCGAACTAGCTGACTTAGAAATAACCGTTTTCATATAGTCAATAGAGTTTTACAGTATTTATACTGGTCACACAGTGTCACATGGCTTCAATAACTAATCGGCGTTTGGTATGAAGTCTAAGAAAATATGGCTAAGAAACAATTGGGAAAAAACCGCGAATGCCCAATTATGATCTACATGAAAATGGCTATATAGCTTCCCTGCAGCGTGACACTATTTCAGCTGAACAAACGCGCGTGCGTTGTGTTTTAGTTAGAGAAGTATACGCCATATTTGAGAGATCGACAGGGTAATCTTGTACGTTGACGCCAGTCATCGCAAGTAAAGCCAGCAGCCGCGTCTACCAAAATATTATCATTTCACTTCCAGATGAGCTCGATTTTCCATTGCCCTGCGGCACCTCGGCATTGCGGCTCGTCTCCAGGGGCAGGTACTTCAACTCCGTAGAATTCCAATTTGACGAGTTACCGCAGCAGTTGATGGACGCTTACGGACCTAGGATGTGCTTCTCATGAAATCTCTCACGCACACAAACATCAGCCAAGTGAGAATAGGTACGTTTTCGCTAGTCTGGTACCATATTATGTCGCTTCACTTTGTTAATACATCACTATTGTCTCGTTAATATGTAATCAGGAGTGAATAATAATAGATCTATTATTATTCTCTATTATTAGTTCTATTATTATTCACTCCTGATCTAATCTATACGAAGCGAAGAGACAAGGTGCTATTTAAAGTTACAACGGGTATGACAGGCGGAGGTGTTCCTCTCTCTATTAGTCATCTAGGAAATATGCAACGTGATTTAGAAGCAAGCAGTTAGCTGTATAATACGGTACAAATACTTGGTATACTGCGTACTTTTGCCGCTGGCACGTACTCCACATTTTGTAAACAGGCAGGTAAAGGACATGTCTTTAACTGAACATTAATGCGATATCACATATAAATTTATGTAGCTCAATATCTTTGGTGAACGATGCGTATTTACTGTATATGTACTCTCTCTCTCTCTCTCTCTCTCTCTCTCTCTCTCTCTCTCTCTCTCTCTCTCTCTCTTTCTCTCTCGATATATATATATATATATATATATAAGATAAAATTAAAAATAGAAATAGGTGTCAAAATTTTATCACTCGAGCTTTCGAGAACATAATAATATTATGTCTCTTCGTCAGGCGACATATGATTCTGTTGTTGTCGCCTGACGAAGAGACATATGTTCTCGAAAGCTCGCGTAATAAAATTTTGACACCTATTTCTATTTTTAAATTTATCTTATCTCTTCATGGGTGTCCGTGTGTTTTTACTTATCGTATTATATATATATATATATATATATATATTATGCATAATTTACTGTTATTTAACAAATTCTCATATGAACCTAATAGACTCTGTGATTGTATAGCCTGCAACGTTGATATTTGGTTTCGCAAATTGCCCCAGCAGTGTAACGTGTTGCAGGAATCTCTTTCAAAACACCTCGCCACTTTTGTAATAACATATCAACAGCTTTCGTAGTTTTTGTAATAAAATCCACCTTATTATAAAATCGGTTGTGCCGTGTTACAAAAGTGGTCGGCCGATTTTACCACCAAAGCGGTAACTTCTTGCGAAAGCTAGCGATTTTTATTACAAAGTGTTAAGTTCTTACAGAAGCCGTTGATCTGTTGTTAAAAAGGTGGCGAGTTCTTACAAAAGCTATTCTTATTACAAAAGTAGTTGCTACACATGTTTTAGGCATGTGTGCTCGTATTATACTTGTTAACGGTAGATTGAAAGAAGAGAAGAGATTGAAAGAAAACTGGCATTTAAGGAGGAAGAAGTGAATGATGTGATATAAATAGAAAATAATAAACATTAGTAAATCAGAACACTTGGCGGAGGCAAGTAGAGAATGTAGAGTTGAGGTGGCGGCTGCGGAGAAGGTGGGTGAGGTATAAGGTGGGGCATGATGCAGAGATGAGGCAGATGGAGGGGTTAGAAATGAGGTAAATAAGCAGTGGGTCGTACTTCATCCACCATCATCTCTTCAAGTCTTATAAACTCTGGTCTGCCTCATCTTTACCACATTTACTCTCTACTTACTTTTCTGTTACATTCTCTGCGTTTTCACCGCTTTTACAACGTGCTCTACGTCATCTCTACCACATTTGCTCCTCTCCTCTACCTTCCCCGCCTCTCTCCTCTGCCTTCTGCCCAGATTTTCCATCGCAGATTTACCTCATTTTCCTATTTTATAACTCATCCACTCGTTTATGTACCAACTCCGTCCTTTGTAATTTCTTATATCACGTCATTGTGCTCTCTCTGTCTCTGTCCCTCTCTCTCTCTCTATCTCTCTTTATTTCTTCCTCTTTCTTTTTGTAAACTTTTCTCTATCTACATTAAACTTTAACAGGTTAAGATTGTACATATCTAATATTCTTTCGTGGCGATAGGTAACATATGTAACCAGATATAAACCTTGCCACACCTATATTAATCTCTGAACACTTTCCATCTATCAGAATAATCGTTATGTCTAAACGTTAGTAAATGTACCGTTCATAAAGACTATTTTTGATAAAAGAATGTAATAGAAGTTTACATACATTGTGCTTTATATATATATATTTATTTATATATGTATATATATGTTATTTCAGGTGTTTTATCGACGTTGCCATTGTATTCACTATATTCGCTATGTGATTAGATATCTGCCACCTCTCTCAATCTATAATATTACGTCATCAATTCTCACATCGCAGTGAATGGAATTATCACGTAACCGATCGCATTACATCAGGAGTGAATAATAGAGATCTCTATTATTCACTCCTGCTTACATCGTATCATCAGCGAATATGCCATCAATCGAGACATGACGTCAGACATGACGTGAAAATAATTAGCATGAACATAAACACATCGTATGTAGGTGGCTTATTATTACCGGTAGCTGTGGGCGTATTTGTCGGTCGGATTAACTTGTGTCGTGTCATCTGTCGTTGTAGATTGAGTGCGGGAGATTTGGGCGAGCTGCAGCCATCGATTAAAAGACCACGACCGCCTTGCCTCACCTCCAATACTCCGCACCACTTGATTGGACGGTGACTGGGTTTTAGATGGCGCTGAGTAGCTTCATATATTAAAACTGTCTATTAAATATATGATTTGTCATATTTGTCTCAGTGCGTTTTTGAAGAGCAATGTCTAATATACGCGCGTAATGTGAACCGCAATATGGTGGTTGCTTTCAGATCAATGCTTCAGAAAACGACAACAGTGGGTCCAAATTGTAGCTTCCAATGTTATTTTAGAACCAAACGTTTATTTATAAAGAATCAAGATTATGAAAGTATAGCACGAGAGTTGCATGCTTTTTCAGTTAGACCATCGTGGCATTCTCCTTGTATAACATAGAATATTGCAATATACAGTGGAAAAATAAAATGTGACGTGCATATACTGTTTGTACAAACAGTGTATAAATGCGTACGCACACAAATCGTGCATGCATTCGTTTAATTTCCGCTTCTTCCTAAAAACAACCATTTACGCCGTTAAATAACGTACTGCAGTATGGCTCCGACCTATCGCATATTACATTTTGCATTCCATAAAACATTCTAAAAACTTTCGCGTAGATGACAACATTTTAGTCAGATTTCGAATGTTTTTACCGTCCGAAATTCGAACCATTGTCTTTTTGCGTAGGTGTAGGAAAATAGATTATTCACAATTTTGTGGGGCATGAATGCATGCTGCATGTTCGCGCGCCATGGGACATAGTACAATGTGTATTGTTTAACTACCGCTCATAATACACTGTCTGACGCTGTTGTGTTGTATACAATACAATGTTTTATTATTATTATTATTTATTATTATGATTATCCTTATCCTTATTCTTATTATTAATATTAATATTATTTATAGTAATAGTGAACATTATGATATCTATCTATACTATCTGCATACACTGTGTTAACACGGGGTTACGGATATAGTTTGGCGTCAAATTTCCAAAGCATGTTCCTCCACTTCTTCATAACGAAACGTTTATGCTTTTAGACTTGTTAGTTATTGCTCTAGACGCAAAACCTTTAATTTTGTATGAAACAAATAAGCATCTATAACAGAAATACCGCGGTACGGATACAGCAGCTATATATGTACGTATAAAATGTATAATTAAGTAAAACGATCACATTCCTTCATTGCAGTAATCTGACATTTCTCATAGTATTTGTTATTAATAACATATCTTACTTTACAGAAACACATAGTATAGATACAATCTTCATATAGGATATCCATATTCACTGCATGATATATACTGATATATATATATATATATATATATCAAATTTCGTGTAAAATACAGAATTTTGTTTACCGGCGTATAGCCGAATTAGTGTACGTATATATAACGAGGCACGTACCAGATATATACACGGCAATCAATATCACTCTCCGTCATTTCTCTCATTCCCATTATAATGACATCGTTACCTTGCTACAATACGCCCGCTACATACCTGTGCCTCGCATAAATGATCCGTGTTACCGTACATTGTGGACGGCCGCATATTATAGGAGAAGAAGGATTTGTTCGTGATAAAGGAGCCTAGATATCGTCATTACGTGTTCCGTCCTGCGTTACTGATTGCCTATCTTACCGTGCGCATATATGGTGCAGCACGAAGCTGTTTCCGGATCTCAGATTCCATACTATTCAATGGGCAAAGACACGCGTGTTGCTCTTCTACCAGCAGACGCTGCATCGTAGTGTAGTCGTTTAGTACCTCGTGTGAGGAATGTACGGTGGATAAAATGAACCCATATCTATAATTATAATATCATGAGCAAAAAGCACACAATCACTTAATTGATCTATTAATTTTGAACTCGTGGATAGCTATATGTTAATAGCTGCTATTAGGAGGCCATGCGTTTTTGGCTAGGGTAAGATCACAGGCACTTGGAGAGTTTCAATAAAATATAATGCTAAATAAATACGAAATCTATTTACTACCAAAGTCTTAATGTTTCTCTACCCCCTTTCCCTTTCACCTATTATTGCCGACAATTTGCTGTAAATGCCGTCCAAATGCTCATCTGCAACACACTGTCACACGCTGGCCGCCGCACGCTAGCCAGCGTGCGGTGTACTAGTGTGTTGCAGATGAGCATTTGACTAGCATTTACAAGTGATTATAGGCGAAATAGAGTAGAGAAACATTAAGACTGGTAGTAAATACATTTCGCGTTTATTTACTCTTTTTTTTTATTGAGACGTTCCAAGTGCCTGTGGGTAAGATAACCAAAACATGTTTTTTAGAATTTCGCTTTGTTTGTTTCTACCTTAAATATTGTATAGATGATATTCTTTAAAACTTAATTATGTTTGCGTGTAATAGGTTGATGAGTCGCTTCATTAGGCTCGGGAGATAATGGAACGTGATTTCTCTAAAGAAGCCATATTTATGTTTGGTGTGATGTCGTAAAAATTATGCAAATATTTACCATGATATATGCGATGCGACATTAGGCACACTTATATGGTCTAAGAGCTATACACTCGTTGGGAGAATTATATGATGCACTTGTAAGTCTGTTTCGCGAACACCTACCCATTTTGAGACGCCTGTAAAATGGCCCCAATTATTGAAAGGAAACAATTTTGGATTCGCTTTAAATATCCCTAATTATTTTAATGACACGGTTTTCAATTACTGTGCTTTTTGCGTTGGTCTTGCCTCTCATTACGGATTATCTCACACTGTAAGGTTTATGAATGTACACCGGCATCTACAAAGCCGCGCATAACGAAATTATTTTTGTGACGGTTCAGAGAAATACATATGGACTCGAATAAAGGTAATCACGTCCGTCTTTAACAAAGGACTTCTCGGCATATCATTTATTCACGTATTATGAATTGTACTCTCGGCGCATGCGCGAGCCCCCATCATAATAAAAGGGATTCTCTATCAGAGTACTTTATGTATTTTAATGTTGACTTTGACATATAATTTTAGCGTTTTACTAAATTCAGGCCGATACGTGCACATTAGTATAAATGGAGTGTACGCACACCGGTTTCGTCAATAAGATAAGCAAAAAATATATGTACGGTGGACAATTTTTATACGTACAATGAATTAAATGGAGAGGTAGGCCTAATGAATTAATATTATACGAACTTTATTGCGATGCTAGCCAACTTGTAGAGTAGAAAAAGATCATGATGATAACGGTGACGCTTGAAGAAATTTCTAGCATTAATTTATCGGAACTATATTACCAACTTCTAGTAGAGAAATGCATGCTCTTTATATTTTTATTCGAAAATTTTATTTCGCGAATACATTAGAAGTAGATCGGCAGACGGAGGCGGGCGGACGGACGGACGGAGGGACGGACGGACAGACGGACGGACGGACGGACAGACGAACGGACGGACGGACGGACATACAGACAGACAGACAGACAGACAGACAGACAGACAGACAGACAGACAGACAGACAGACAGACAGACGGACAGACGGACGGACAGGCAAGCAGACAAAGAGACAGGCAGCCAGACAGACAGGTAGATTTCTTCCCATTCATGCACTAAAGCTCCACGTGCGAATGGTGTAACCTACTCTAATGTAACCTAAGCAACTATACAGGAAAACTATGGGACATCGGGCAAACTTCTGTAGTGCACTCCGTAATATCATTTCATTTCAACCTAATCATTATTTTATACATACCTGTTTTAAAGGTCAGATGTATAAATTAGATTTCTTCATCTAAAAAATATTCTAAAAGAAATGCTTTTTATTATATTGAGCACCGCTGCGGGCACAAAGAACATATACAACACATGTTAACTATAGGGCTTGCGGCCTTTAATTGAACACTTGCGGAAGTACTACAGTTAGAGTTTAACCTACTTGCAAGCAGGTGATCAATTATTTAAATGTAGAATTACCACTTAGAAAAATTTTATTCTCGATCAACAAAACCGCTAAGCCAATACTGTGCCTACCCTCAAGCTACAACAGAGCTAATCTATGGAGAGAAGTTTGGATATGTAACGTTTCTCGCTGGCGCTCTCGATGCTGCACCCTGGCTGTCAGCTTCCAACCTGGTCGATGTCTGTGTTCCCTATGACCTGCTCCCGATCTTAGCAGAAGTGGGTTGACAGCAGTGGAAACCGTAACTAAAACGACATGTTGTGGTAGAACATAAACGCATGCGGCTCAACTATAGGAAAAGATTCATTCGTATGAGTAGAGCCTTGCCTGCGACTGTAAAAACCCACGGAGCTCTAGCACGGCCGAGATTTTAACTGTACGTACTATATGTCATACAGAACATACTATACAGTAATTATCTCGCAGGAAGATAATGTGCGTGGGCTAAGGCCGGCAGACGTTAACTACGGTAGCTATACCCACATGTGGGTCTTCTATAGCTGCATAGTAGACCTACCTAATGTCAGATGCAGTTCAATTGTAAAATAAAACAAATTGAACTAGACACTTTGAATACTGGCAATGGGAATAATGTCATGCCACGATGCTACGAGAGCAAAGATACTACGAATGGCAAGCATAGAGGCGAGGTAATTGATGCCTCAACAGCACCTGCATACCCATGGCTTCTGGTGGCCTGGTGTGTCTACCTGGTGGTTGAGGTTCACTGTAAAACCAACGTGGCTGCGTGCACGTGTCCACGTGACTGTAAGCTCAAGCTGTGTGCTCTGCACTTTAAATGTCAGAAGCATATCGCATAAATGTTATGTTCCCTATTGCCTACTTTAAATGCGCAATTTCAACAATTTAATGTTTCTTTTGCATGTGCTGAGAATGATAGCGATACGCATTCAGTTTTGCTTTCCAAATGGAGCTATAGGGACAGGGTTGCAAAACATAGTATAAATGAGGGACAAATCTTGCTTCTATACAATGTTTGGAAACTGTAGAGTAAGAAAGCCTCAAATATCTCCTTGCCGTTGGCATAGTTTGCTGTGTCTTTATGAAACAATGGCCACGTAAATATGTAATTATTCAGTAATGGTCTTCATGTAATGGTTTGTGCCGGTATTATATCTGGAAAAATGGTAACAATGAACAACTTTTAAATGTATATAAACAATTTATGACCACAAGAAAAATTAAAAATAAATAAAATAAATAAAAACCGTTACATTGAAACATCTATGTTGCCGATGTATAAATGGATATTTCTCTGTGATTACAACTTCGATTAATTTAATTTTACACTCGTATTAATGGTGACATATTGCTGTAAAAAAGCGCGTCAGGGATTGTTACTAAGTGCAGTATTTTATTTGTTATCCCTCTTTATTCGTAAAATTTTTCAATTCTAACACAACTTAATTTTTAAGCAGTTTTTTTCATTTTTCAAAATAAACGCGTGGGGTTTAGCCCCCCCCCCCTGATGTAAATTAATACTCAACACATCAGCATAGTTTGGCCTATTTGGTCCGTTTACCGAATGCAAGCGATTGCACGAGCAACATTCTCAGCCATATTGAAACTGACGGAGAATTGTACTACTAGCGCAGTGACAGACGGAAGGGCTACACGGCTGATACTACATATTATACATTTACGGGCTAGAGTGAATTGGCTACACTACACAACCCGGGTACACAACAGGCCACGGAGTAAAACATTGCACAATTTGCAACAAAGTCCTGTAGCATTTGTTCTGTAGCTGTTGTTGTAGAGTTTTTCTTCAAAACTCACTTTTCGACAAAGTTCAGCCATCTATGCTAAACGTTTATATATAATATATATATATATGTAACGAATTTCGGTCCGCCGCAGCATCACATCCCCGCGTTCTGCTCTCGGCGGTACGTCCCAGCATCCTCGGGATGGGTCCAAGGGCAAATGCACGTGCTGGACACGAGCGTGTCCGGAGCCGACGGACCGGTCACGGTGAAGCCGACGTGCGTCACGTCCGAAGCCGGCGTACGTCACGTCCGAAGCCGACGTGCGTCACGTCCGAAGCCGGCGTACGTCACGTCCGAAGCCGACGTGCATGTCACGGGTGAAGCTGACCCACGTGTCACGTCTAAAGCGGCGTGCGGGTCACGTCTAAAGCAGCGTGCGGGTCACGTCTGAAGCTGACTTACGTGACACGGCTGAAGCCGACGTGCGTCACGTCCGAAGCCGACGTGCTTGTCACGGATGAAGCTGACCCACGTGTCACGTCTAAAGCGGCGTGCGAGTCACGTCTAAAGCAGCGTGCGGGTCGCGAAATTTTTTTCCCAAACAATGCGCTTATACTGCGTGTCGCGCTGCTGGACCGAACCTTCGCTTAGCCCCATGTCGAAATCTCGCGCGGACCGGCGAGACTCGAAAGCGGAGGGTACTGTAACCGAAATTCGGTCCCCGCCCAGCATCACATCCGCGTTCTCTCTCGCGGTACGCCCAGCCATCCTCTGGATGGGGGCTTTTTTACCCCAAAAAGGGCAAACCACGTGCTGACACGAGCGTGTCCGGAGCCGACGGACGGTCACGGCGTGAAGCCGACTGCGTCACGACTCCGAAGCCGCGTACGTCACGCGAAGCCGACGTCGTCACCGTCCGAAGCCGGCGGTACGTCACGTCCGAACCGACGTGCATGTCACGGTGAAGCCTACCCACGGTCACGTCCTAAACGCCGTTCGGGTCACGTCTAAAGGCAGCGTGCTGGCGTCACGTACTGAAGCGATTACGTGACACGCTGAAGCCGACGGACGTGTCACCGTGCTGTCGTACGTCTCGGCGCTTGCGCGGGCTTTTCTGACCGTATAAATTACGTCCTCCCCAGAGCACCGGCACTCAACGCAGTTCAGCTCCAGTGCATCAGTCCAGCGCATCGTCAGTTTCAGTCACCGGCAGGCTTGCTAGTAAACCCGGCCAGGCAATCATCCAAAGGAACAATCCTTCCGAGAGAAGCACAGCAATGACAGCACTGAGCCAATCGCCAGCCAGCGATCTCTGCAAGGACTTGCCGCTCTCCTACAGAGGACACTTTGTAACCTAGCGCCTCATTTAATACTTTAGCTAGACTCGGGCTTCTACGCTCTGAGAATATTTACGCCAGCTACGGACCCAGCACGTATTA